GCTCCCAGGGAAGCTCCCTTCGCCATTTCACCAGGGTGAGGCATGTTAGACAGGGTTTTGTCCCTGACTCCTGACTGTTCTAGAGACTGCCCAATAGTAGTCAATAACTGGTAAAACCCTAGTAAAATGCTGTGCACTTCCTGCAAAGTAAAAAGAGAAGGTCAGTTCCAAGATACATCCCAGCTGGCTTAGATGTGCTAAGATCCCAGCTAGCCTAGGCTGCAGGCCCAGCTGAGGCTACTTTCAGAAGTCTAAATAATAAGGTGGGCCTTTATTATCTTTTTTCTATCACCTGTAATTGTTTTCAATTTTTTATTACAGAATTTAAAACTTCTTAAAAAGTAGAGAGAACAGTATTATGAACCCCGTGTGCTCATCACCCACGTGTAGTAATTACCAGCTCAAGGCCAGTCTAGTTTCAGGCATACACTACCCACTTTCTCCAAAATCGTATTATTTTGAAGCAAATCCCAGGTCTCCTATCATTTCATTCTTAAATATTCCAATATATATAGTACCTCTTAACTACTCTCTTTGTAAAATTAGGATGTTTGTGTCCTCATTTCTTTCTTTTCTTCTACCTCTCAACTCTTCTGACAACATGCTAGAACAATTCAATCCTCTAGCGCCAGACTGTGCAGACTGGGATGACAAATTCTTGGTCTCCAACCCCAGCCGGCACCTTAGCCCTGGTCGGCAATCACTCTGATAATATCAGAAAAAGCTGTCAGCACCTTTAGAAGAGATGCAAAAGTTGCAACAAAAAAAGAACAAAGTTCTGATACCAACCCAAAAGCTCCCGTACCTACAACTACACATCCGTCTAGTACATACCTGTGACATGTCTACCACGGATCAACACTGTGACACTGAGGACACAGAAATATAAGACATTGTCCTTGCCCTTAAGGACAACCTCTGTAGAGTGAAAAGCCAGATAAGCCTATGGCTGTGGAGGCACAGATGAGGAAAGAAAGTTGCTATGGGATACGCCTGAGGGTCACCTGATGGACCCCTCCCCTGGGTTTCTAAACAAGAATTCTACCTGGACTCCCCAACTCAGGTCCAGCTCCTTCTAATCCATTCTCCCAACTGCTGCCAGAGGGGTCTTTTGTGAAAATACCGATCTTCAGTCGCAACATTTCAACGACTCCCAGTGGTTTTCAGGCTATGGTTCCAAGCCCTCAGCCGAAACCTCCAGTCTCTTCCCGACAGCTTTTGCTTAGTTCTCCAGCACCTTGCTCACAGCGCTGCCACTTCACAAACTCCCGGTAGTTCTTGAAGGTGACTGGGTATGCCCTTTCCCCCCCCCCAAAACCCCCGCCCCCCCCCCCACCTCATGCTCCTGAGACTCAGCTCTGGTACTGCCCATCCTCACTCAGACTCAGGCGGCACGGGACACTCCCCTCTCCTCCCAGGGCTCCCAGGAGCACGGGGGCACAGCCTGCCACCCAGCATCGCACAGCTCCTCCTGTCCATTCAAGGCTGCTGCTTTGGGCCACAAAGTCTGCTGAGTGAGCAGATGTTAAAGGAAGCCTCCTGGCTATGGAGATCACGGCAGAGAGATCTGTTATAGATGGAGAATTACTTCCCAGCCACAGGTGGTATTCACAGATGGTGTGGATGAGACTGTCCAGGGAGAGAGGGTCCAGAGGACATTCAAGGGAGCAATGATACTGAAGAACTAAGAAGAAACAGCCAAAGCCATGGATGAAAGTGGAAAAGAAGAGGCTTTCAGGAAGAAGGAATAATAAATAATGATCCTAATGAAAACCACAAGGTAGTACAAGAACCTTAAATGCCACTTTGAAATAAAGAAAGATTTATACTTTGAGTAGTTCAGTTCTAAACGTATTTCATAGCTTTATAATTCTTTAAAATTCTTACAGCACAGATATCTAACACCAGGAGGTATGTACATACATCATCATCATCATTATACAAGAAATATAAACATTAAAAGTGTACCTGACGTTATTCGTAACAGCCAAAGAGTGAAAACAACCCCCAAGTATCCATCAACAGATGAATGGATAAACAAAATGTGGCATATCCAGACAATAAAATATCATTCGATCCTTAAGAGGAGTTAAGAACTCAAACATACTAAATATGGATGAATCTTGAAAACATTATGCTAAGTGAAAGAAGCCAGTCACAAAGGACCATATGTTGGGGCGCCTGGGTGGCTCAGTTGTTAAGTGTCTGCCTTCGGCTCAGGTCATGATCCCGGGGTCCTGGGATCGAGCCCCGCATCGGGCTCCCTGCTCCATGGGGGGCCTGCTTCTCCCTCTCCCACTCCCCGCTTGTGTTCCCTCTCTCGCTGTGTCTCTCTCGGTCAAATAAATAAATAAAATCTTAAAAAAACAACAACAACAAAGAACCATATGTTATGTAATACAATTAATATGAAATGCCAAAATAAGCAAATCTACAGCGATAGAAAGTAAACTGGTGGTTGCCAGGGTCTATGGAGAGGAAGGAATGGGCAGTGACTGCTAATGAGTACAGGATTTCTTTTTGGGGTGATGAAAATACTCTAAAACTGATTGTGGTCACGGCTATACAACTCTGTGAATATACTAAAAACTACTAAATTGTGTGCTATAAATTGGTGAATTGTATGGCATGTGAATTATATCTCAATAACACGGCTACCAAAAGAAGTATATGAGTCAATAAAAGTTTCATACATCCTTTGCTTAGGAGAGCAATCCTGTTAGCACCCATAAACATAACTCTAAAGTCTAAATGAATGCTCAGTTCTCAATACAAATTCTGTGTTGCCTTCACTTGTGAACACTAGCCTCTTACATAAACCAGCAGATGAAACACCCAGCGTGGAGAGGGCTTTAATATTAGTTCCACATTACAATAACAACCTCTGTTGCAGAGCCAGTAACAAGCCAGAACCCCAGCTTCACCGCCCACCTTCCCACCTCACACAAAACATCTGCCTGTCCATTCTCTATCTTGAATACCTACCCTCCCAAACCATGGGCATGGCTATGCCAGCTGAGTCCTTGCTTACTGGCAAGGACACCCAGGATCGCTTTCAGAAAGCAAAGGCTGAGGAAGGGGCACTCACCCATAGGAGCAACTCCCCAGGAAACAGGCACAACTGGCCCCAACACACCCATCACCCTCCTGCACACAAGGCCTTCTCAATCTGGGTGGTTTGTTTTTTTTTTTTAATTTTAAACTGCATCTACAAAGTTTTTTATAGTTGGTTTCAAATTCCCTCAGTTAACAGTTATAGGTTTTGATCTGTTCCTAATTATGGAAAAGAATCCTGGGATTGGTTCAGAGCAAAGGAACTTGAGTTTAACATTACCATTTTTAAAGCACCAAGGTTTACATGAATTCTGAGTAAAGAACTAGATTTCCTCAGTTATTTTGCTTTAAAAAATGAGAGAGACAAAAAGGCTTTTGCCTGCACTGAAAGCCATACTAAAATTTAACCAAATGGCCTACGCTGCAATCTATTCTCTTCCTTCAACGAGTCTCTACATTTTTACTGAATCTGGATAGTCTCTAAGTGTGCATGGGTGTGTTTAAGAGCGAAATACATCTAGGAAAGCTCAGGCTCTGAGATTAAGAGCACTACAGAAAGGCAAAGCCCCCTCTGTTGAGCACATCACTTCATGTGCCCAGGAAGACGCAAGCTCAGCCCTCCACACGCACACCCCCACATACGGTCCCAAGTGCAGAGATCTGGTGTCGTGTGAAGATACCGAGAACACACAATGTCACAGATCTAGTCACACTGCCTGCAAATTCTACAGTTAGTTGTACACCAAAGAGCAAAAAGACACAGTTCCAACAGAACTTACCTGCTTGTTCAAGGAGAGCTTGGCAAGCTAAGTGGTGAGCATGCCATAGTTTATTTTCGAAAGTGCTCCTGAATACAGCTTTCTTAAGTGGATCTTATTCAAGTAAGTGATCTAGCCCAGGTGAAGAGCCCCCCAAAATCAAGCAGCAAATCAACATCTCTTTGACTCTTAAACTTAAAATTAGTACTTTAAAAAAAGTAAGTGTGGGGAAGAGATCCCTCTAGAAGGAAATGCTCTAAAACCATTTCAGTGGCTTTTCAGAGGGTGGAGCAACAGGGCATTGGGAGGAAAAAAACTAGAACTCAGCATTGGCAACAGCACGACTATCTCCAGCATAAGAGCCTGTTTATATGCACAGAGCCCTCTTTTCAAATGGGAAAAATGTCAGCAGTATAAGTTAAGATTTTCACTAAGAATCTTAAAAATGTTAACCATTTTTCAGCTATACACAATAAAGTCTGAAGTTCAGATTCAGAAATAATAAGGTATGCCAGTATGAAAATAATCTCAACTTAAAACAAGCCAAGAAATAATATTTACTAGACCCCAAATCAAATATTTTATAAAATTGGATAGTGTTAGATGCTACCAGATTGAAATTGTCTGACTGGAGCCTAGAGTTCAACCTTTATGGAGTCAAACAACCTAAATCCCTGGTTGGCACCTAATATTCCCTTTACCTTGGTGTTGTGTACACTCTATAATCCCTCCTCTTGAGTGTGGGTGGGCCTGACCCAATCAGGTGAATGTATTTATTTATTTATTTGTTTGTTTATTTTTAAACACAGGGCCTGAACTCATCACCCTGACATCAATACCTGAACCGAGATTAAGAGTCAGACACTTAACTGACTTAGCCACCCAGGCGCCCCCAGATGACTGCTTTTAAAAGAGGGTCTTGAGGTCAATCAGGAAAAGTCAGAAAAAGTTGAAACTTCAGTAGATATATCTGTATTTTTGGTTGAAAATTTTAACTTCTAAGTGTTATAGAAATGGAATCATACAGTATGTAAATTTCTAAGATCCCTCCCCCCAACTCAGCAAAATTTTCTTGGGATTCATCCAAATTGTTGTATCAATAGTTTGTTTCTTCTTATTGCTGAGTGTTATTCCATGATATAAAATAAATAAATAAAATCTTAAAAACTGTGGCCAGTTTGCGGACTGCTGGGGGTTGGTGCTGCAGGACTGTTCCCAGTCTGCAGAGACTCTTCCCCGTTGTCTGCCCAGCTCGGCTCCGCAATGCCGCTGGACCTCAGCAAGTGGTCCGGGCCTTTGAGCCTGCAGGAAGTGGGCGAGCGGCTGCAGCATGCGCTGCAGGTCAAATACACCAGGACAGAGGTCGACGAGCTGATCAAAGTGCTGACGCCCACCCAAGTTAAGAACCGGCCTGCCAGTATTGTGTGGGATGGCCTTGTTCCAGGTAAACTCTACACCTTGGTCCTAACAGATCTGGATGCTCTCAGCAGGAAGGGCCCCAAATACAGGGAATGGCACCATTTTCTGGTGGTCAACATGAAGGGCAACGACATCAGCACTGGCAGAGTCCTCTCCAATTATGTCAGCTCTGGGCCTCCAGATATATCTGGCGCAGGCCTTCACCGCTATGTCTAGCTGGTTTATGAACAGAATGGGCCACTGAAGTGTGACGAGCCCATCTTCAGCAACCGATCTGGAGACCCCCGGGGCAAATGCAAAGTGGCATCTTTCCGCAAAAAGTACGAGCTTGGGCCGCTGGTGGCTGGTACATGTTACCCGGCGGAATGGGATGCCTATGTGCCCAAACTCTATGAGCAGCTGTCTGGGAAGTAGGGGAATGCTAGGAGACAGAAACTGTCCTGGAAGTCTCAACCAGTGTTCTCCAGTTCAGTGATGCATGTAGATTTCTCAGGGGAGGCCTGAGCAATCAGATAATGGTTTAGAGTGACTTTTCCTTCTGCCTGTCCTTTAGAGGGTCACGCCCCCATTTATGTTTTGATCAAATTTGAACTCCATTTTGGGGGATATTTTGGTACTGTGTTGGGGTCATCAAATTCTTAATATAAGAATAGCAATCCAGAATTTAAAGAAATAAAAATTCAGGTGAAAAGACCAGGTCTATAGTAATAGAGCAGAGCGTCAAAGAATCTTGAAGGGAGGTTTAAAAAAAAAAGATCCATTGCCTCTGCTTTGTGAGCCTGAGTCCGGAATTGTGCATGGGGGCACTTCTGGGTCGTGTTTTCACGGCCCGTGTCTCCCACCAAGACAGCCAGAGGCTGGCGTGTGCACTAACCCCCAACGTGGTACATCTCAGACAACTTACTAGGGATCAGTGTCCTGTTCTGGCTCCTTCGAAGAGCAGTACTGGAAAAAGCAACAGGGAAAGTGGCTTTGCAATTAAGACAAAGCCATCTAGATGAGCTGCAGGGCTGGGTGAGGCCGTTGTCAGAAATCCCTACATCTGTGTCTGTCGAACTCTTGTCTATAGAAAAGCCGTTCTGGAGTTGCAGATTATTGTGTTAATTCTGCCGTTTGCTTATAGTTGAATAAAAAGAAAAACACTGTGTGGATGAAAAAAAAAAAAGAAGTCAAAGGATGCAACTGAGAAAGAAAAGGACATGAGAGGACTCAGTTAAAAAAAAAAAAAAAAGATGTATCCTGACGATAAACCTTTATCACCGGAGTCCTTATCAGAATCAGATTATATTGAGGGGGTACGGGCAAAAAAGAAGAAAAGCAGTGAAGAATGAGAAAAAGTAACAGAAAGAAAAAGCAGCATAAAAAACAGGATAAGGAGAAAAAGATGGCGGCAAGTTCAAGTCCTGACTGGTCATAACATTGTAAGAAAAATCAGGTTTCCTTTATAAAGAAAGTGCAATGTCTAAGGAAATTTCAACTGTGAGAATTAGGACATAATTACTAAAATGCATGAATGTTCCCGTTTTTAGAATTAGTCCTATTCAGTAGCCATGTGGATGCCACTGTGTGAAAGGGCCATAGCTGTTGCCTGCTGCTTGAACATCCGTTTTTTTCTCTTCCAGTGCTTAACAACTCTGGGAGATATTACACTGCAGTTGTGCTAGTGGTTAAGACATTCGGGGATAAAGTTAATATGTCTGACTAGAAGTATCTCATGATAAGTCAACAGAAGTTGAATCTGGATACATCATTAAGGTATAATCAGAAATGATCAGGTGACTCTAGATAACATTTTTGAAATAGGGATCACATTGATATTTCAAAATCCTTACTCTGTAGATAAGTGTATTTTAATTTTGCCCCTTCTATACTTTTATATACCTGGGGAAGGAGCTTTTGGGGGGGGCTGCTAACTCTTCAGCTAGCAGAAGAGCATGCTTTTTATCCTCACACATCCTATTTCTGCAAACACAGTAGCCATGCTTCATGGGGAGGGCACAGCAGGGTACAGCACTCTTGCCACTGGACATCCTTGGACTCTGTCGTTTGCTCTTTTAAGTGAACCAGAGAAAGAGCCCTTTGCAGCATGACAGAGCCTCAAAGGCTCTGGAATTTACCTCCACTTCAGTAATGCTGAATGTTTTTTAGCATTACAAAGTGTGATAACATTTGAATTAATTCTGACTACACTTTGACTTTGGAGGGGAATCATTTCAAATAGATATTGGTACTTTTTGAAATTGACTGCCAAAAATTCTAAAATGCATGTTTTATACTGTTAGGTTTTAACTAGTCAGGAATATTTTATGTAACCAGTGATAGTTACTTTTGTTATGAATTTGGTTTAGGTTGTAATGTTTAGCTTTTATTAACTCCTTATTCTTGCTATCTTAAATTCCTTGCTGTATTTAATGGCATACTTGCCAAGATATCTAGCATGTAAAACAGACAAACAAACAAAAAAACCCAACAGGCTTTTGGGGCACCTGGGTGGCTCAGTCGTTAAGCGTCTGCCTTCAGCTCAGGTCATGATCCCAGGGTCCTGAGATCAAGTCCTGCAGGAGGCTCCCCGCTCAGCAGGGAGTCTGCTTCTCCCTCTGGCCCTCCCCCTGCTTGTGCACTTGTGCTCTCTCTCGCTCTCTCTCTTAAATAAATAAATAAAATCATTAAAAAAAAACAGGCTTTTGATTTTTTTTTTTTCAAACAGCTTCACATTGAAGCTGAGACTTACCATAAACAAGTTGAGTGGCAGGTCTGGTATGCTATGTCTTGTTACAAAAAGCTACTGCCAGAATCTTAGTAAACACAATATTTTAAGAAGTTGTCTTTGTATATTCATAACAAATTATGACAAGTGAGAATTACATTATGCTCTTCCTGTGTCATATTTTACTAAAATTTTGTATCTCGTAGCTCCTGCTGAATTGTTTACTAGTAATGTTAAACAGAACTGATAAATCATTTTTACTTTATATTTTTATATAATCAGGTAACATGAAATATAATTTGATGTACAATTTTGCCTGTTACAGAGGGTGTGCTAATTATAGTGGTATATACACAAAACATTTTGGCATGACAAGAAGCTAAATAAATAGCTATTTCACTTTAGAAGGAAAAGGCTGTTATCCCTAATAAGTTGATTTTGTGTAAGATGTGATGATTAGGTCGAAGTTCATTTATCTGTCGATGGCTGTCCAGTTGTTCCAGCACCACTTATTTGAAAGGCTATCCTTCTTCCACTGAATTAATTGTCTTTGTTCCTTTGTCAAAAATCAGTTGGACACATTTATGTGGTTCTGTTTCAGGTTCTTTATTCTATTCCTTGATCTGTGTCTATCCCTCCACCAATAACCACAAAGTCTTGATTACTGTAGCTAAACAGTAAGCCTTAACACTGTGTACAGTGATTCCTCCCACATTATTCCTCTTTTTCACACCTGTTACAGCTATTTTAGAAGCTCTGCTTTTTTGTATAAATTTTAGAATAAGCTTGTTTATATCTTCAAAAAAAGATCTTGCTGTGATATTTAAAATTTTTTATAATTGGGGACGCCTGGGTGGCTCAGTCAGTTAAGCGTCTGCCTTCGGCTCAGGTCATGATCTGAGGGTCCTGGGATCGAGTCCCGCATCGGGCTCCCTGCTCAGTGGGGAGTCTGCTTCTCCCTCTGCCTCTGCCTCTCCTCCTGCTTGTGCTCTCTCTCTGACAAATAAATAAATAAAATCTTAAAAAAAATAAAAATTTTTATAATTGGGTCAAAAATATTTAAGATAAAATTTACTGTTTTAAGCCTTTTTAAGTGTATGATTCAGTACTTAAGCACAGATGCTGCAAAGATTAGAGAACAGTGTGAATACCTTTGTGTCAATACATGTGAAAAAATGAAATAATGCCTAGAAAAGATTATCTTAAATGACTGAAACAGAAAGAGAAAACCCAAAATATCCTACAACTTTTAGAGAAGTTGAATCAACAGTTAAAAGAAAATGCCACAAATAAAAAATACTAATGATTTTACAAGGGAGATCTATTAAGTATTCAAGGTTCACACAATTCTAATCTTATATAATCTCTTCCAGAAATGAGAAGAAATCTCAATTTATAATTATTAAAGGTGAGTTTAACCTTGATATAAAAATGGAACAAGGACAGTAAAAGAAAACTAGATGAATGGTGGTGTCATTCAGAGAAAGGAAGCATGGGGTGGGGGGCTAAGGTCATAACAATGACTACGTGCCGACAGCAGGAGCTTGTGATTATCCAGTTAGAGATGTCTAAGCAGCGACCGAGAATAGTGGTCTGGAGCGCAAGGAGAAGCTGGGCTGGAGATAGAACTGAGAATCACCCATACAGAAAGAGCACCATAAGTCCTTTAAGTGGGATGGAATTACCCAGGGAAACTGTGTAGGATGAAGACAAAAGAGAATCAATGCCTGATTCCCAGACAACCTCAATGTTTAAGGAAGGAGATTCCCTAAAGAGCCTGGCCAGAGAATCAGGGAAAGAAAGGACCAGGAAAGCAAGAAAGACAGCAACTCCAATCACTCTGAGAAGGAGAGGAGACTAGAGAATTTGGTGACTGGCATCCGCTAAGACAAAACAGTTTCAGGACGTGGTGAGCGAAGGAGGCACCACTGTAGGCTGTTGGATGAGTGGGTGAGAGGAAGCACAAACAGGGAGCCAACACTGGAGCAGGCTGGCTGAGGAGGGAAGCAGAGAGTGTGTAAGATCAAAGGGAAGAGCAGACTAGAGGATGAACACACGGGTGGACCAGCTAGACAGAGAAAGGGAAGCAGTTGGTGAGAAAAAAAACAACACAGAGCCTATCCCCACATTCCAGGAATGAAAAGATTCTTCTGAAAAGATTCTTCTTTAGTCGCAGTCCGAAGACATGAACACACAATCACCAGGACTCGGTTTCAAATCCCTCCTAACTGATCAGTGACGACTTGCTTCTGAGAGTCGGCAAACGGCCTCAAACCAGGCCCGTGACCATGTTTCTATGGCTAACGCTGCACCAGTCCCTGAAGGTCCACCCGGCCCTGGATTCCACATTCACCCAAAACAGAGGGGGTAAAATCGAAAAGTACTGAGGCAAGGCCTGGAGGACACAGTGGCAGATGACAAAGAGCAGAAATGAGGCCATGGGTCTTAGATAAGAGGGAGTCCGTGGATCCCCTGTGAACTGAGAAAAGGGTGGGAGTTGATAACATCGGTGGCAGCAGCAGACCTGCCTTCAGGTCACATACACAAAACTCGGTGACGTGGAGAGGCTACGTGATCTGTGTAGGAGAGGCCAGGACTCACACAGGGCCCGTGCTCGCACATGCAACCTCGCGCAACCACTCACTCCACTCCACCCTATCTTTACACTCTGACAGCAGCTGCAGCAACTTGCCATATGACACTTTCCACACTCGGGCTCTCATCAGTGTGACTCCTGCATACCCTGACTCATTCCAGAACTGAAGCTCTACAGGCTTTTACATGGGAAGTGCTTAGTGAAGAAATGAATCCAGCGGCAATTGCCAAACTTGTTACATGCCAACTTGCTTTCAAAAGGGCTTATAGTTCTCTTTAAGTGGTTTAAGCCACGCCTACCACAGCCTTCTTTATGGTGGTCATGTGCTCAGCACTCCTTTCCCATAGATACTACCAAGGCCAAGCAATATCGTACACCTCATTCACCTCAGGTTCCAAATTAGTTGAGTCAGTCTCCACTGAAAAGATTTCACTATGTCTGCAGGTTGAA